TAAAGTGCAGATTCTGCTGCAAGAGGTCAGGGCGGGACCTCAGACTCTGCTGCTGGTCCACGGCCCACCTTGGAGGAACAAGCTGTAATGCTCTGTGTGTGATAAGAATCACCACTGCGATTCAAGAGCTCCTGACTGGCCCACCTGGGACCACACTGAATCTGGGGTTTTGATCAAGTTGCCCTGAATTCAATCTTTGATCAGTTTTCTTTAAGTCTGTTAGGATATCACCTTACCCTTGTCTCTTATCTTGAAATCACTTCTCCGGGAACTTCACTGTCTCTTCAGAAACGAGCTGAGAAAACAGCAGCAGGCAAAACAGAAGCCTGAGAAGTGAAAAAGGTGTAACCAATTTCACACATTAAAACGTGTGCATTTTACTGGTATTTAGCTTTGTTTATTTATTTTTCCCATTTTACAATAAGACTGGCTATTTATTTGCTCAGGCCAGGGGTTGTTGAAAGAAGGTAATTATAAGAAGAGATTAGGACTGCTGATACTTGACAGAGGGAAGGACATGAAAATACTGTGAAAAGCTGACTCTGTAATATAAAAAATGAAAAACTCATAAAGTTAATAATGAAAACACAGAAGTGTCAGAGGAACAGGGATAGTCTTGGGGTGAAGGCAAAAAGCCTGAGATGTAGAAATTGTCCTCAAAGACATCGCTGAGCTCATCATGTCATAAGATAGAGATAAGTATATATTTTAGGATTATTAATATAGGGAATAGAATTTAAAAAAATGTGCTTAAAAGGGTAATCTAGTTATTTAGAAAATTCACTAATGTATAACAATTCTCTGATGTTGATAAATGTGGCTTTAAATACGTTCCAATTTTATATAGTATTAATTTCATTATATCTAAAATCTTTGTGATCACATAGAGTCCATTTATTTTGAAAAATAATATTTCTTGTGATTATAAAACATGCTCCTGGAGACGGCTGAAACACATAAAAAAGTAACAAGAAAAAGTTTACCTATAATCCATCCAATCGGGAATATTCACCAATAATATTTTGGCATAGAGTCTTCTAATTTTCTCTCTCTCTTAAAATATACCACCTTGTGGTGTGTGTTTTCTTCTTCTGACCTCACATATTCTTTGAAAACATGATTTCTAGGCTACGTAAGATTTTCACTTATTTCCACCATTTTCCTTTGTATTTGGAGACATGTGAGCTGTTGCCGGTTCCCCTCGAAGAATCAAGGCTATGAGGCACTTCTCTGCACATTCCCCTTTGTGAGCATCTCTGGTTATGTCTGAGGGCAGTTCCCAGAAGAATCACCAGGTCAGACAGCACTCATGTCCAGGCTACACTTATCTAGTAGTTAATGGTCAATAAGAGCCCACAGAGAGGGAGGAAGCTAACGTCAGCTCCAAGAGGAGTGCTGATTGCTGTTAGGAAGGATGGTGTGCTGCCCACCGAGTGCTCTGAGCTGCAGGCTGAATGTCCGCACATTTCCCCGTCCAGTGTCCAAGTCTCCCCTGGGCTTCACACAGGAGCCATTTGTAAAGATGGCCTTTGGGCCTCTCACCATCCCTCTCTGGTGAGTGGTAATAAGAGGAATCACTGTCTCTCTCTGCTTCACAGCACATACCCATCGCCTCCACCAGCTCCAACTGAAAATGTAAGACACAAATAAAGATGTGAGTATATGGTTCCCATAAGCAACTTTATTTTCTTTTGCTTCTTGTTTTTACTCATTTCTTTTTGCTTTTATTTTCCTCCTTCCAGTTTTCTCTGTTTATATATTTTTCTACTTTTAAAAGATACAAATTAAATTTTGTTTTCTTGTTTTTAGTAAGTACACTGAAGGTTATAAATCCCCCTCTAATTATTGTTTTAGTTGGATTCCACAGGTTTGATTATGTAAGACTTTTGTCATTCACTACTATTTTGTAATTTCCATATTGATTTTTAAAAAAATGATTTTGTTTCCAAATGTATGTTCTTTTTAAAATGTATTATAAAATCTGTCAACATAAAAAAGTATAAAATATAATAAAACTAGAACATATGCTTATAAATTTTATTATTGATAAGCCATAGATGTATAAGATAAACAAACCATCCCTTCCTCCTGGTCCTTGCTCAGAAGTAACTGCCATTATTAACTTTATATTTTACAAATTGTATGGGTTTCTTTTTAGATATCTTTTAAAAAATATATGTTTTACTGATTTTAGAGAAAGGAAAAGAGAGGGAGAGAGAGAAACATCAATGACTGGGCATGTTGCCCTGCCCTGCTGTTGATTTTAAATTTTCATTGTGGTTCGTGAATGTGATCTATAGATTCTTCGGAATTCATTGAGGCTTCCTTTGTGGCCAGTACACAGCCAGTTTCTGTAAATGTTCCAAATATGTTTGAAAAGACAGATATGCCAAAGTTCTTTTTCTGAAATACAAACCAGATGTCACCACTTCCTCTCTCAGCTTCAATGGTCTTAAGGCGAAAGACGGAGCCCCTTAGCCTATGATTTCGCCCTATGCTTCCTCCCTAGCCAAGGCCTCAGCACCTCTCTATGTACAAAAAATGTATGTTCATATAGCTTTTGTACCTTTTAGGGTCAACTTTCTGAAACATTTGAACTGTCAGAGTTGCCTTGTAGTGGACAGTCCGGTATCTGGCATATCAAAGATTGTAAGAGAATCTCAATGAGTCCCCAAGAGAATGGGGTGTCTTCTGCGAGTGGAGTCATGCTGAGGTTGGACAGTTGTCCTGTGGTGGGTCACTGTCTCATTGCTAGTTCCAATCTTCACTCACTACTTCTTCCTTCTGAACCCAACCCACCTCTCTGAGACCTCTAGTTGCTGTGACCCTGCACGCAAATTTCTTTGCACTTCCGCCTTCCTTTCTCTGCCTGCTCATTCCATGGTGGGTCACTTCAAGGACACTTCCTCAATGCTGTCAGATTGCTTTGCCTTCTAGAGACAACTGCATAAGCCCAACAGAGATCCATCCCAGGTGGAATCCACACTGAGCTTCTGCTCCGAGGCCCCTGGATGGAGATGGGAGATAGTGGGGGAAATCAGCTGAGCAACTCTTCTCTCTACACGGTTATGGCTTCAACCTTCGTTGGGACCTCACTTTTGAATTTCCTTCAGAATCTGTTTCAACCTTTTGATCCCCTTCAAATCTTTCAGCATCTCCCCAGCTCCTTTATTCAGCCGAGTGATTGTTTGCTGCTTAATGGAGAAAACAGAAAACATTAGGGTGAGCCTTCATTTAGCCTTTTCCACCTCCCTTCCTCCTGTTTCAGAAGTGTCTCCCCTGTTCTCTAGGGTAAGAGTAATCCTGTCTCCATATACCCCCTCCTCTCGTCTCCCCTGTGTTTATCTATTGATTACTCACTCTGATCCCGAGTCTCCGCTTCCTAACACCATCCTTCCTAACAGCAATCAGCACTCCTCTTAAGAGGCTGACATTAGCTTCCTCGCCTCTCTATGGGCTCTTATTGACCATTAACTTCTAGATAAGCGTAGCCTGCCTTTTATATATTATTTTAAAAATGTCTCTGTTGATTTGAGAGATAAAGAAATCGCAACATCAATTCGAAAGATAGGCTGCCTCCCGCACTCCCCCTACTGGGGACTGAGCCTGCACCCGGCAGGTGCCCTGACCAGGAATTGAACCGCTGACCTCTTTGTTCAGGGGTGGTCACTCCATCACTGAGCACACGAGCCTGGAAGGCCTCTCCTTCTTGATTTCTCCAGATCACTGACAATCCTGACCAAACCCAGCTTCTCAAAACTTTCTTTTACCTACTTGCCTCTGATACCACTCAATCTTGACTCCCTTTCTTCTCTCTCTACCTCCTTCTTTGTTCTTTGACCTTGAAATGTCAGGGTTCCAAGTGTTTTCTATTGACAATCCTCTGTTTTTATTTCTTTACGCAACAGGAAAGCACATGTTTCATTTCAAACGGGTAGAGTTTCTACCAAGCTCTCAAGTGTGGTCTATTGTTGCCATGTTGCCCTATTTTTCAGGAGCTGTCAGGTGTCACAGTTTTATGTGAAATCCCTTAACTTTACATACGATAATGAATTCAAACGTGTACAAAAGTGTGCACGACAAACAAGACACAGGTGGTCCTGCTTAGGGCTGTTCTCTTACTTGACAGCCCCTAAGGCAGTTTATAAAGTACTTCTTTAGTAATGGTAGCTCACACGGATTTAGGGCATACTATGTGCGAGGCACTCTTCCAAGTGGTTTGCATGATTAATCCATTTAATCTTCACAACAATTACACCAGCTAAGTGCAACCATTCTCCTGCGTTATAGATGAGCAAACTGGAGGGATGGCCTCAGTAGTTGTCTTGGTCACAGAGACGCGGAGTTGGAGAACCTTGACTCAAGTCCAGGCGGTCCAGCTCGGACCTCAAGCCTTGAACCACGACCTTCCGCGCGCTTCCCTGCTCAGCAGAGGAGACTGAGGTCCAGGGAGGCGGGAGGGGGGCTGCGCTACCGGCTCAGACCTGTGACCCGAACACACAGGTGGGCGAGGGGCGCCGGAGACTCACACTGGTCACCCACTCGCTGCTGTAACCCTCCATGGGCCCTCACAGCAAGCCCTGAAGGACGGCGCGGCCATGTGCTCTCCTGTAAACTTCACAAACACGCTCTCCCGGGGACTGTTCCCCATTTCACAGACGGAACAGGCTCAGCGTCGCTCAGCGACTTCTCACGATCCAGCCACCGGCGAAGGGCAGAGGCAGCTTTCCAGCCAGGACATCTGCCGCAGAGCCCTCAAGTTCGGCCACGAGCTCACACGGGGAAACTGAGGCCCGGGCAGGGCGGTCGCTGGTGCCCGCGGAACCGCGGCCCTGGCGCGGGGTGCGCTGCCCTCCTGCTCCTCCTCCTCCGGGGCCGTGGTCCGGCACCGCTGGTAGGACGCGGGGCGCGGAGAGCGGCAGGGCAGCGCGCCTCCCCATCTAACGGAGGATCCCGCGGCACCATGGCAACGGGCCGGGCGCGAGAACAGGAAGTGCGTCTCCCAGTGGGCGGGGCGAGTTTGCGTACCCACCAATGGGAGCGCCGCATTTGCGTTCGCTCCGCCCGGAAGGTGGGCCGAGCCGCTTTCCTGCGAGCGCTGCCGGCTGAGCGACCCGCGCTTCGTGCTGCGGAGGGTAATTCGGCGGCGCTCGGGGCCCAGGGGCCGGGGGAGCCCTCCCGAGAGGCGAGGGAGGACGGGGGGTGGGTCAGGCCCACGGTCAGCCCGCGCCGTGCCGAGGGGCACCCGGGAGTTTCCCACGTCCTGAGGGGGAAGCCGAGGCCCAGAGAGGGGCGGCAGAGGCAGATAGACCTGAAACTCGTCCCTCTCACACACAGACTTTCTTAAATCGTAATAGTAGGTGAAAAAGTAAAATGCAAAATATATCTGAACTGAATACATACAATAGGACTTCGCCGAGCACCTCCGTTATCTCGTTGTACTTAGTGCTCCCCTCGGTTTTGTGCATGAAACTTCTTTGTACGGGGCCCCGCCCCTTATTTTACAGGCCTGGGGCTGGCTGTGCGCAGAATCCCGCATTTCTCGGGTTTCGGGAGGTGATATGGTGCATATCTATGTTCTGCTTACATTCACGGGGTCTGGGACAGTGTTTGGGATCAATACATTAATATTTTCACAGATACATCTATCTATCATCTATCTATCTATCTGTCATCTGTACTAACTCTTTAAGGGATAAGGAACAACCAAAAGTAGCTTCACCTGAGAACAAATCAAGTTTTCAAACTTAGAGATTTTTCAGAAAAAAGATGAGAGAATTGCAGATAAGGCACTGGGCTCCTAACATTACTGTCTGCTCCTACCTCTCGCTGCTTGGTTGTGCCACAGTTGCTGAACTGTGCTTTGCATGGGCACCCCCTGTCTCCATCGCTAACAGTGTGAACCCCCGGTGCCCTCTCAGTTTCCTTATCTGTGAAATGGACTCAGTGGTGCTTTCCTCCTGAGGTTCTAGGTGAGGAGTAAATGAGACCATGGGTGAGAAGCACTAACGCTATGTCTAGCATGTGGCACAGATGGTTATAATGGAGGTTTGCCTATTCCACAAACATTTCTGTTTTGAAATTATTTGGATAGGCGGTGCATGTCCATGCTTAACCTTCCCTGCCCTGTCAGTCTTCAGAGAGATCACTGATTTCTAGACATAAGCAGTCTGTCTGTATCTCTCACCCCAGACTATATATAGCCTTCTATATCTTTCTTTTCTTTTTTTTTTTGAATATATTTTATTGATTTTTTACAGAGAGGAAGGGAGAGAGATAGAGAGATAGAAATGTCGATGAGAGAGTAACATCAACCAGCTGCCTCTTGCACACCCCCTACGGGGGATGTGCCCGCAACCAAGGTACGTGCCCTTGACCGGAATCGAACCCGGGACCTTTCAGTCCGCAGGCCGACGCTCTATCCACTGAGCCAAACCGGTTTAGGCTATATATTTCTATACTTCCTTCTCCTTAAAATTTATTTTGGCTGTTACCTAACACATTTACATAACTTCTTCTTTATTAAGCTATGTAACATTCCTGTAGAAATGTAAGTTTGAAGAATGAAATGAAACGAACACCACCAACTTAAGAAATAGAACATTATCTTATCTTCAAAACACCCACTGAATCTTTTACTCCTCTTGCCAAATACTGTGTAACCACTGCTCTGAGAATTGTTACTCATTTTCTTGTTTTTCTCTGTAGTTTTTTACTGTTGATGTATCACTAATGAATGCACGGGTTTACAAGGTTTTGAATTTTTTTATAAGTGGGATCCTAATATATACCGTATTTTTCGGACCATAAGACGCACTTTTTCCCCCCCAGAAGTGGGGGGAAAAAGTCCCTGCATCTTATGGTCCAAATATAGCCTACACATAAACTTTAAAAAAAAAGTTTTTTTACTTGCCCGGCTCTGTGTGGTCTCTGTGTGCTTGCCCGGCTCTAAAATGGTTCTAAATGCTGCTGTTTACTTTACAGGGTTGATTACATGTGTTTATGACTGTGATGTTGGGTTTTAATGCACATAAAATATTTTAGGACACTATTTGTTTCAGAATCTTTTTTTCTTCATTTCCCTTCTCTAAAAACTGGTGTGTCTTATGGTCCGGAGCGTCTTATGGTCCGAAAAATACGGTATATAATTTTATTAACCAACATTTGTGCATTTTGGGTATCTCCTATGTGCCAGGTCCTTGGCAAACATTTGGTGGTCATATCTTCTTTAAACTTATGCCTTAAATATAGTTATTATCCTCATATTATAGATGAAAAGACTAAGGCTCAGGGAGATTAAACAGGGAGATTGTTAGCTAAAAATGTTTCTGTGTTATATTTGCCTAAGTAACAGCAACTTTCTTGTCAGATCACGGCATAACCTGAAATGAATGTTAAAAGTCTCAGAATCCCAGGCCCTATGCAGTCAGAACCTCCAGGAAAGAGGCCCTGGATGCGTATTTTTAATATACAGATTACGTGATTTTTAAGCTCAGGCAGGCCTAGCAAGAACTGGTCTCAAAGCCATCTGTCCAGTTCTGAACCCACGCTCTTAGCCCCCTGAGCAACAGCTGGACCTCTGGCAGGCGTGGGTTTTTGATCAGCTCTGAACTTTGTGGTTTGTGGAAAAATACTGTTTTTATAGAGAGCAGGAGATTTAGAAAATACCCTGCAGTGCTCTGACGTCAGTTTTATTAGTGGTTTGGGAGAAAGGAAGGAGACTAACACTTACTCAGTGTTTACTAGCATTTCTCTAAGCAGTGAATGTTATTCTAATTTTTTAGTGTTTATGGGGCCCCAGATAATTTATCCGGGGCCATAGAGCTGGTAAGTGACTAAGCCAAGTTTCAGATCCAGAATCACCGAATAGTGAAAATAGCTAACTCTTAGTTAGTGCTTAGTCTGTCACCAGGCTTCTATGTGTTTTATTTTATTTAATCCTCATGGTGTGGAGAACGTTTTTATCATTATTCTGATTTTACAGATCAGAAACATGAAGGTGGTATTTCCCAACTCCACACCCTCAGTGAGGGAGCAGCTGGGAGCGCAGGCCTCTGGTTGGCTCCCGGCCCACGCTTTTCACCACCGCCCAGTGCTCATTTGACTAGCCCCTGGCTTGTGTCCTTTTCATTCTCGTACTCTTCAGCATGCTGATCTGGATTTAAAAAACCGTAACGAATTTATATTTGACAATGCAAATCCATACAAAATCTAGACCATTGCTTCTGGTGCGTTCAGAGATTAGCTGATTTCATTACGTCTTTTTCAGCTCCGTCACCATGCAGGGTAGCTCGAGAAGGACGGGCACCATGACCGATGTCCACCGGCGGTTCCTCCAGCTGCTGATGACTCACGGCGTGCTGGAGGAGTGGGAGGTTAAGCGCCTGCAGAAGCACTGCTATAAGGTCCACGACTGTAAGTATCGTTTTCCTCTCCCCGGAAGGCTCTGGAGCTGTGCGATCAGGGACTAGTGACATTGGTATAATGCCAGGTAACCAGTCAGCCCATTCTCCTGACCTGCCATTCAGGTCTCTCACAATCTCCCTTTAGCCCATCTTTCTCACCTCATCTTTGACTTTTTTTTTTTTTTTTTTTAAAGCAAACTCAGTTTTTGTTTGTTTGTTTGTTTTGTTTTTTAAATGTATTTTATTGATTTTTTACAGAGAGGAAGAGAGAGGGATAGAGAGTTAGAAACATCGATGAGAGAGAATCATCGATCAGCTGCCTCTTGCACACCCCCTACCGGGGATGTGGCCGCAACCAAGGTACATGCCCTTGACCGGAATCAAACCCGGGACCCTTCAGTCCGCAGGCCAACGCTCTATCCATTGAGCCAAACCGGTTTCGGCTGACTTGTTTTTTAAGTACATCTTCCACTTAGCCCAGATCAGGTCAGACTTGGCCTTTGAACAGTGGAGTCATGGTTCACGGCAGGGCTCCCGCACCTCCTTGGGCTGAGTTTCTTCACCACTAAAATGGGACAGTTAGTTGTACAATATTTGACATTCTGTGGCTCAGGGAGTTAAGAGACATGACACGTAAGAAACACTCGGCACAGGAAAAGCACTTAGTTGGCTATTGGTAGTCAGAGGGCAGCTTAGCATAGTGGGTCAGGGCGCAGGCCGGGGCTTGGCATTCCTGGAAAAGTGCCTTTCCGGCTGGTGCTGGCTGTGGGCATTTGGGACATCTCAGGGGTTGCTGGAGGGGAAATAAGATAATACATGTGGAGGATTTAGAGACTGGACTGCTTGTGCGTACTAAGTTTTCAGCAACTGGAAGTTTCAGTTAAACAATGGGATCAATGTGGATAGATTGATAAAATCAGTATTAGGTCTTGTCGAATGTCAGCATAGGTAGGTCTTATGGAGTGAAAAGGAAAGTTTATATTTTAAAATATTTATTTATTGTTAATCCTCACCAGAGGATATTTTCCCATTGATTTGTGGAGAAGGGTACAAGGGAGGAGACACACAGAGAGAAACATCGATATGAGAAAGACACATTGATTGGTTGTTTCCTGCACACACCCAGACCAGGGCCACAGACTGTGCCTGCAATGTAGATATGTGTCCTTGGCTGGGCACCATGTCATTGGAATTGACCCAAGATGCTTCAGTCTGGGACTGATGCTCTATCCACTGAGCCAAACAGGCTAGGGCGGAAAGTTTATAAATTATACTTGTTGTATGATGTTGTTGTGTTAGGTTCTGTGTACAACTTAGTGATTTTCATTGTTCATAGGTGTATATACCTGCATGTGAAAATATAAAAGTGGCCCTAACTGGTTTGGCTCAGTGGATAGAGCATCGATCTGCGGACTGAAAGGTCCCAGGTTCGATTCTGGTCAAGGGCATATACCTTGGTTGCGGGTACATCCCCATTAGGGGATGTGCAGGAGGCAGCTGATCGATGTTTATTTCTAACTGATGTTTCTAACTCTCCATCCCTCTCTCTTCCTGTCTATAAAAAAATCAATAAAATATATTACAGAAAATGTGAAAGTAGACTGAAAAGATATGCAGCACACTCATGCTTGCCTTTGGAGAGAGAAGGAGAGGAATAGGCTTGTCGACAGAAATCAAAGGACCTTCATCTTTATCATGTTTTGTTCTTTTATTGTCAGAAAAAGACTTGAGGCAAACATGGTGTTATTAGTTTAGTCTAATGGTTATCACTTCTGATGAGTGGGAATATAGGATTTTTATGCTATGTTTTTGTATTTTCTCTATTAAAAAAAAATTTTTTTAATCCTCACCTGAGAATATATTTTTTTTTTACTGATTTGAGATGGAGAAGAGGGAAGAGAGAAAAAACATCAATGTAAGAGAGAAACATTGGTCAGTTGTTTTCCCCTGGGCCCAGATCAGGATCAAACTCACATCCTGGGCATGTGCCCTGACCAGGAGTTGAAGCCCCACCTTCTGGTGTACAGGATGATGTTCCAACCAGCACAGGACCTCTCTCCGTTTTTAATTGTTAAGAGAAGAGTGGAAAAAAGACGTGAGCCACGTCAAGAGGGGTGAGGAAGGTATGGGGGCTCCCAGTGCCTGGGTGAGGCACACGAGGCCCGGGGTCACACTGGAGAACTGCAGTCCGGGGCGTGCTGGAGGTGGAAGCAGACCCCGGGGGTGGAGGAGTGTGCAGTCAGAAGGCAGAGAGCACAGGAACAAGTCCATTCGTGATGTGCAGAAGGAAGGTGGAGAGGGCACGTTAGAGAAGAGGCCAGTCCATGGAGGTGTTCTGCGGGGAATTCTGGAAGCTCTGCTATACATCCACAGATAAAGGTTGGGCGGTTCTGCAGTGAGGAAACTGTGTATCCTTGTTAATCCTGTGTGTCCAAACTTAACTGACAAATAGTAACACACTTCAGGAGACCCGAGAGAAAACTATATGAGGTGTGGGAAGAGAATATGTTTTTTGGTGTGTAGTTTTACAGATTTGGAAAAACCCATAGAATGTAGTAGTTTTTTCTTTTGGTGTGTGTGTATGTGTGTGTGTTAATCCTCACCTGAGGACATGATTTTATTGACTTTTGAGGAAGAGAGAGAGAGAGAGAACAGACAGATAATGGTGTGAGAGAGAAACATCCATCTGTTGCCTCCCACATAGGCCCCGGTCCTGGGATCAAACCCACAACCTAGGTATGTGCCCTGACCTGGGATTGAATGGGGTGGTGCTCCAACCAACTGGGTCACCCGGCCCGGGCTACCACAGTAGTGCTGTTCTCCCCTCTTAATTCTGTAGACTGTGCAGACCTCCAGGAGGGTTTGAAGCAAGAAGTGTCATAATTAGTGTCGTGTTGGGGAATTCTCCTGGTGAGAACATATCTGCTCTAATTGCCTGCACCGTGGTGGACAGGGTCTTTGGTGAGAGCCTCCTTCATGGAATGTTACACCAGCCAAGCTAGCTTCTCTTGCTCTTTAAAAGGCACAACAGGGCTTTAAACATACCCCTCAATATTCTTCAGTGAGGCCATACCAGGCTTTTCTTGTCTCTACGTAACAATTCATTCCTCTCCCCTTAGTATCTTATACATGTCCGGGATCTGAGCTTCACTATAGACGGCAGTTTCATAGCTCACTGCAGAGCCATATGATGCCTTAAGGCTAAGACTGAAAGTGTTTTTTCCTTTATTTGACCTTTAAAGTAGTTATGATCTAATATAGAAAAGTCCTGTAGAATGTGTTTAGGAAATGATTCATTCTCATACTTTATTTATTTATTTTTTTAAAAAAATATTTTATTGATTTTTTACAGAGAGGAAGGGAGGGGATAGAAAGTTAGAAACATCAATGAGAGAGGAACATCAATCAGCTGCCTCCTGCACATTCCCCACTGGGGGTGTGCCCGCAACTAAGGTACATGTCCTTGACCGGAATTGAACCTGGGACCTTCCAGTCTGCAGGCCAACACTCTGTCCACTGAGCCAAACTGGTTTTGGCTATTCTCATACTTTATGTACCATTTCTGCATATCAAGATATAGTTAGTAGAATAGAACTATAGTTTGTTTTCTCTTGTTGTTCATGAAAAATAACAAAGGTCACTCACAGTATTATTCTTACTTGAGCAGTTTTAAACAAAGAATGATGGAAAGAAAAGACCTAAAATTAAGTAAATACTTATAAAACCAATATTATCAACCTCTTATTTTTTGAAGAGATACCTAGGAAAGGCCCCTTTCACTAACTGGAAACATATTTAGTTTTTAAGAGAATTAAAAACAAAGAAGTAATTGAAACTGCAAGTTATGCTAATTGCAGTTTCCCTTCGGTTTTGTCCAGTTTATCAAAGAACTTCCTGTTTTTGGATCTCTTCTTACTGTCACTAGGGGGGAAAAAATTTCCCAAATCTCCTGGCTAGTGAAGAATTTAGACTTTGTTCTGATGTCCTGGCGGAAAGCCTTTGTGAATGGCATTGGGACTTGTATTCTTAGTGCCCCTTAGATTCTGTGCCAGGGCTTGCATACGTGCATGTAGTCATTCAGCACAACTTCCTGAGACTCTCCCGGCACCCGGCCTCTTCTAGGGACTGCTGGTACAGAGATCAAGTTTTGCTGCATCTTGGGTCTTGTGTATCCTACAGATGTGGAATCAGATGATTCCAGTAGACACTCCTGATGGGGGCAGGTACAGGAGGCTCAGGAGTGGGGATTAAGAAGACTTGAATTTGCTCTAGCTGATTTGGCTCAGTGGATAGAGTGTTGGCCTGTGGACCAAAGGCTCCCAGGTTCGATTCCGGTCAAGGGCACATACCTTAGTTGGAGGCTCCTCTCTGGCTCAGGCCCTGGTCAAGGTGCATGCAGGAGGCAACCAATCAAAGTGTTTCTCTCTGTCTTTTCCTCTCTCTTGCACTCTCTTTAAAAGATCAATGGAAAAATATCACCCTAACTGGTTTGGCTCAGTGGATAGAGTGTCGGCCTGTAGGCTGAAAGGTCCCAGGCTTGATTTCGGTCAAGGGCATATACCTTGATTGTGGGCACATCCCCAGTAGGAGGTGTGCAAGAGGCAGCTGATCAATATTTCTCTCATTGATGTCATTGATGTTTCTAGCTCTCTATCCCTCTCCCTTCCTCTTTGAAAAAAATCAATAAAATATATTAAAAAAGAAAAATATCTCCTTGGGTGAGGATTAACAAAAAAACAAAACAAAACAAAAAACAAACAAAAGAATGTGAGAGAGAAACATTGATGGGTTGTCTCCTGTACATGCCTCAACCTGGGATTGAACCTGCATGATAGGTATGTGCCCTGACTGGGGATTGAACCTGAAACCTTTTGGTGCACAGGACGATGCTCCAACTGACTGAGCCACCCAGCCATGGTGGTTTCCCTCCTCTCCACACGAAATACATGTTCTCTTTTCTAATACCACCTCTCCAATTCCCTGGTCACCAACTGATGTCTAGTAACTTAA